TTCCCCATCGGTCAAGCCATGACAAAGACGGCGGGTTATAAAACTCTCTAATTTCTGCAGTTGCGTTTCGATTGACTTGAAACTTGGGGAAAATATTCCTGACACTTTGTACTTTTATACAAAAAATTATCAAAAAAATGAGTTTTTTTGAAGTTTCAAGACCTACGTAACCTCTTAAGGCATTAAAGTTTGGTAAAGGCCTTCGGAAACAATAATGTACCACTAACACCGAGTAATGATGGAACAATTGTGGAAACAGAAATGAGCTTAACGATAATTTCCTCTGCCTAGCAAATCCACGGTGTATCTTATATGCGCTACAATTCCCCCCACGGCGCAAACAAGTTCTTTGCAGCATTTAACCAAATCTTTGGAGACAGTCAATTCCCTGACTGGATGATCTGAAGAAAGTTTATTTACCTGCACTTAAATAAGACACTAGAACAACAACAAAAATGCGTATTTTGCACCAGAATTTGGGTCATATCGCATATTGGAGTAATCCAATAGGTACTCCCTGTCCTCAACTATTGGATCGATTTCCTAGCCTATGATATTGCTAAAGGAAGATGCATGGCGAAATGATCTTTTTACTCGTATACAGAAAATGTATGAAACTGAAATTGAGTCAGTTACGTTTTGGTGATCTCTCCTGGTACCTAGATAACGTTCCACAGTTTGAGCTAATATAATATTTTGCACCGCATAAGAATAAACGCTCAAATTTAATTATGTTATATATTGGCAACAAAATATGAATTTAAATTTATTTGATAAAGATTACGTTGGTATGTATGAATGTATGTACATATGGATGTTTTGACAAAATAAAAAATTATGTGCGAATGTAATTTTTCATTTATATTCCATAATTTAACCCACTATAGGCACTCCATGGTTTAATATTTGGGTTAATTTCAGAACTAATTTATGTACATACATATTTGCTCAATGGATTACTCGGATGTTATGCAGAGAGAAAGAGTATATGGTCCAGCCCTGGGATATCACCTTGATAATTGGACCATACTTTTTGTATGGATTGTGATTAGTTTTGGAATACTAAATTGACCACGTGGAGGGTATATATGTATATATGTGCATATATATCACGCGTGTAAGAAGTAGTCGCGTTATTTGCAGGGTACTAGTACATCGCATACATACTAGAGGTGAACAAGACATTTGCTCTTGTTTAGTAGACTGCCTCTCTTTTGCTCTAAAAGATCAAAATTTGCCGAAGAGATGTTTGAAGCGAAAGCTGTTTTCAAGTACACAAAACAAAACTGTAGTGATAATTTTACTGTAACCACTGCATTTTCGCTCCTATGCGTAATTTCCATATAACAGTTTCATTATCACTGAAAATTATACACGAAACTATTAAAACCATAAAATAATTCTATGAAAACTTAAAAGCCAAAGTAGGTTACAAGACTATATAAAGTTTTCATTTGCCTTGCAGCAACAATTATTGTAAAAACACATATGTATCTATGTACATATGTATATACTTATGTTTGGTTATTATTTCCTCACATGAGCTAATCACCATAAAATATTTATTTTTTACTTTTGGTGCACATATTTAGTGCGAAAACAAGAAATAATTCTTTCTTATTTTACAAAAAAAATTTTAAATACATAAAGTATGTCAATTAATGTTTGTAAAATGAAAAAAATCAACCAAATTCAATTTTCAACTTAATTTTTACTAGCTAAAACAATTTTCTCTAACTTAATTTTTATAAATAAAATTAGTCTAAGTAATCTCAACATAAATAATACACACAAATTCCAGAGTTCAAGACATAAAAGTGGAAGAGATATAAAAATCCAAAAGACAACAAATATTATGGTGTCAATTAATTGTCTGCATTTTGTAAACAATTATTGCAAATATAATTAAAACTGGGGAAATATTGCAGTGTTGGCACTAATATTTGGTATGAAAGTCACTTGCACAGCTCGGAGATGACGGGGCTTGGACTGAATAAGGTTGTTTAAGTCATAATTTTCAGGTATTTTGTTCCACTCTTCCTGAATGACCTTAATGAGACCTTTTTATTTGTTGGGCAGGAGTATCAATCACTTTAATGGAATTATATAATAGCCACGTCCTGCATAGCAATGATTTATGTTTGGGATCGTTGTCCTGGTACAGTTTCTACCTTAAATTAATGGTTTCATGGCCAACAAATACAAATCTTATCGCACTCCTTGACCATTCGTTTTTTAGAATATCCAAGTAAAACTCCTTCGTTACCAACACCTTTCGACGAAATGCAACCCCAAATAATTAAAGAAAGCTTACCAAATTTTACTGTTGGAATTACATTTTTCTGTTGCAAAGCTGTGTTGGGTTTTAAACAAACTTTACTGGGTCCATCATGATGGTATAACATTATTTGTGTCTCGTCAAAAAATAACGTCATCCCAGTATGCCGCAGTCCTGTAATCATTGGTTATAAAAAAGTTGAATCGCTTTTCAATATTAACTACCGACAACAATGGTTTCTTTCTAGTTATTTGCGAGCAGTACTTGTGTATTTTTAAGACTTTTCGGATAGTCTCGTGACTTATTGTTTTATGGCAATAATTTTTAGTATCTAAGGCCAATTTTTTCAGCGAGGGCTAAGGATTATCACTAAATTTTTTCTTTTTAGAAATACTAAATTACATCATCAATATTCATTGAAATATCTAATTTTGTAAATTTATAAAGCATTTTACGCCCACTTTGTTTATGATTTGCTTGAATATCGTGAACAAATTATGCAAAACATTTCAATGTGCTTAGTGCACTTATTAGAGCTTCCCGTTATTACTTTGGTGTCTCTACTCAAAATATAAGAGTGAAAAATTTGCTTGAGGAGAACATGTACTGTAAAACACAATGGGTGCAATAGCAATGATGACTAGATACGAAACTCTTTATTCCGTGAGAGCGCTCAAAAATCCGCATTTTTTATAACATTTCTGAACAGTGCCACTGTGTTAGAAAAATTACTTCTTTGGATTTTTAGGTATATTTGGGGTATTTTATTACAAACAACGACTTCTTTAATTGCAATTTCACTAAAATATTTTATTAAGAAACAATTCAGTATTTAGTTATATTAAGTTTTCATAATAAAATTACAATAATTTCTTTAATATTTACTGCTGAATTAAATTTCTTTTGAAACAAAAATAATGGATTGTTTTATTGACATAGTGGCACTGGTGCGTTTTGCACATCAGATGTTGAATGTTCCCCGATCTGACATTGTTGACAACATTAGAATGTGAGATGGGGGAACGCTCTCAACTGCAATTTTAGTGATTTTGAGAAAGTTTCGTATCTAGTCATCTTTGACAGTAGTACATCGGGCGGGCTTGGTTCGCACACCACCATGCACACCTCTAATACATACTAAACACTCTCGTACACGAGTATTGAAGCACTACTGCAAAAAATTATATCCTGTTAGCTTACCCGTGGTGAGTTGTTGGTAGTTGAGCGCTTAACTCATTTTTGGCAAGGTTGTTTCTTTGCCGATTTTGATTCATTCGATGGATTTCTTGCTTCGATTTTGTATTTCGTTGCCTTGTAGCTTGAGACACGCACTCATTTTGACTGCCCCATGTAAACTCAACAACACAGGGCATTATTGTACATGCCCCGCAAGAAAAAAGAGTACAATAGTAGCGCCGAAAAGAGGCGCCGATGCCCTTTTCTGATAGGTATATATTACATTTTTCGTCATTTAAACCACATGAATTGGAGTGATAATTTACTTTGAATTTTTTTTTCGTCTTCAAATTCAGAAAGTTTTGCCTCTTGCTTATCATGGTGACATTCATTTTGATTGTTAACATTTTTTTCAACTCAAATAGCATTCTCCTCTATCAAGTTTTTCTATTAGATAGCTACCAATTCCATTGGCAAAATTAACTTCTAATCAAAACGTTTCCAAAACATCCGAATTTCTACTACTTTTTTGGAACATGGGCAATATCTTAACCTTTCAAAACTTGCTTGAGGTCAAATTACATATGTCGATAACTTTTTATCACAGATGTTCAAAAAAGAAACGATCCTTTAACGCTAATATCTGCTATAAATTTCTTAAACACTTTCGACGCCTATCCACGTCTGCCACAATTGTAATAAAATATAATCATTACTACCAGAATTTCGGTGAAAGGATTACTACAACAAAGAAATCTGACAAAATTTTATGGAAATTTTTTCTTCATTATAAATGAGCACATTTTCATAACAAATCAACTATCACTGCTGTCTTATTTATATAAACAGTGGAATAACTAATGTGTTTTATCCACCTTAAGTCTTTTTCTACATACATACATATATGTTTGTAAGCAAATAATATAAATTAAGTGTATTTAAAATTGTATATTTATTTACAAAGAGCCCTCCCATTGGCGGTCAATTTGATGTGGGAATACTTGTATGGAAAGCCTTTAACCGCAAGTAAGAAATTGAGAAGGTTGCATGTGGCTGATACCAGCAATGCGTGCGGCGCAGATCAATCAGATATGGTATGAGTACTAGTATATGTATGTATGTACCAGTAAAATCTCTTTGGCAAGATCATTAAGGAAGGAATTTCCGACGAAAGCATGGAAAGTTGTTCACCATTTACGCTCACAAGAACATACGATTTTTTTTTTATATTTATGTATGTACGTACTATCTATGCTTGTAGACGATGCCTCCGAAGGTAAATATCAAATTTCCCTTTAGCCTGAACAGTTTGCTTGTCTTGCTGCTGAATCGCCTAAGCGTGCTTATGAGCCGTTACTCAACACTCAACACTCGATCACTCAACCGTCCGTGGATCGTTCTGCACACGTGCAAAATGACGTTGGCCAAACTGATTTAATTGTAACCAGCTGTCATCTCTTTAGTGGTTTTCATTGAAATGTTACACTTTCCGATAATGTGCAAGCAAAGAGAGCAAACAGTTTTAAGGGGAATTTACTAAACTCACCTATTTTTAGCTGCAGCTGCTCTGTCCCTTTGCCTTCGATTTTTAAACCAGTTCCCCACTTGGGTGGGATTGAGGCCGGTTGCTTTCGCCAATTCACGTTTTTTTGTCGGATTCGGATACGGATCCTGAAGGTACCACTCACGCAGCAAACTTCTCGTTCTCTCCTTAAAGCAGTGCGTTTTCTGTTCGCCATCCCAAATAGTGGGCGGCAGAGGAAACTTTTTTCGCACACGATATTTATCCACGGGACCTGAAATGAACGAAAAATTGAATTTAAGTGCTTAGATAATGAAATGTGATAATTCTTCATTTTAATAACCGAGAGCAATATGCAAAAAAGTATGAAAAATATCCATTACCCTAGCCCGAACCCACTATATTTATTTCCGACATATTACAAGGGGAAAAAAAGCAGCCTGGTCCCAGAAAGTTGTTGCTGTTTAAATTGAATTTGCTACATCATGAAACCGGGGTAATTTCGTTATTAAGTCAGTTTAGCTTGGGAATTTCGCAAAGCTCGCATTTTGTAGACTAAACGAATTTCGAAATAATATAGATATGTATATGTCAAAATAGTTTTCATCATGATCAAAAAATTGAAAGTGTCACTTCGAAATTTTCGGCAGCAAAAGTGTCTGCTGACAGAAACATGGTGTTGGCCCGTTTGAGCCAGCGTTTTTTTTATTCATTTATTACATATAATATATGTATGAATATGTGTGTGTGTATAATATGTAACCTTATTTACTTATGTTGACATCACATGTTCGGGTTAATTAATTTCTCTTTTCAATATTTCTTTTTTCTATATATACAGGACAATCCTGAATGACTGATACATCAATCCACAGCCTGAGCCACTGATCATACAGATTTCAAACTTGGAGGGAGTATTCGGTGTATGAAAATTAAATTTATTTTTAAATCGCTCGATTTACATGGCATTCGACTCAGAGGTAGCTCTTTGAATAGATTCACATGGGTAAACTTTTCCTTCCGGAAAGTTAACTTGGGATCGATCTATTCGGACAATTATTTATAGCTTTTTACAACAATATGTGGAAACTAGGGGTTCGGTTCGAATAAAGCTAACAAAAAATCTTACTAGAACCATATTTAATTTCCATGAAGTATGTTTTAAGTATGGCGGCCGCGGTAGCCGAGCGGTTAGCATTGCGTACTGCCATTCGGGAGTCTCGGTTTCAAATCCCCGTTCGACCAACATCCAAAAGTTATAGAAAATTAATTTAAATAAGAAATTAAGTTGAGTTTTCTAATTTTCGGTCGCATCTCGGCAGGGCATGTCAACCCCGTCGAGTGTATTTCGGACATGAAATAAAGGCGCCTCGTAAAAGAAACCATCAGCCGTTCGGAAGCGGCTAAGTATAAACTGTAAGTCCCTCCATTTGTTGGAAAATCATTAAGACGCAGAACCACAAATTGGAGGAGGAGCTCGGCGAAAAATCGCTCCAGCGGTTACAAAGCGCCTATTATATATTGGTGTAAGCATTAGTATCTTTCCTTGGCACTGCTTCCACTGTATCGCTCTCTCATTCATGTTTGACTCATGCAAGACTCAACAGGCGTATAAACTTGCTTGGCTGCCGGGCCTTCAATCGCAAGAGATAAACAAACTAGAAAATCAACAAAGAGTACGGCGTTGGTCGCTTGTAGTGTAACTGGTAACACTGGGTGCAGTATTGACTAAGTGAGACCCGTTGGATTCAACCAGTTTAAGCTCTATGCTGTTAAATCGAAACCAAAGACTGATATTAAAATAGAAAAAAAATCTAACTTATGACTAATGTTATGTAAAAAATAGTAAATCGATAAAATAATTAGTGATATGTTCTTCAAGCTAACCCTCATCACACAATAAGCTCTACAGGAACTTTTGGTTAATTTTGTTATTTGTCCTAATCTTGCAATGTAGTTATTTATAATTATATTTTAAACAAATACACAAAAATACATACTTATGTATAATAAACAAATGCGCAGAAAAACATAAATTTCTGTTTTACATACCCAGTGATCGACCGCGCAACTTTTCTGCCTCGATATAGTGGGCTTCGAGCCACATTGCCTGTAATTTGCCATAAGATGCTTTTGTAAATTTATGATTTTCTATTATTGCATAAAGCTCCCTGCAAAGCAAATATAAATGAAATATAAATAAGTTAATAATTGCGACAAATTTGTACATACATATTTATAATATACACATATTTTATTTATAATAAAACCTACAAACATACTCATACATATAAACACAGATACTCCAAGAACTGAATATACAGTAAAAGGCTAAAAGCCGCCCTTTGCATTGGAAATCATTTCGCTCGAATGTGGGAGTCTTGCCACCCGCGTCAAGCATTCACAACGGGGGGTAGTCACATTTAGCACGTACTTTTTTGATGAGCTTTCGAGTTTTATTAGAAGTCTGCTGTTGACACCTTCTTTTATCGTCTATAATTCAAAATTGCTTGCGATTTGAATTTATGGAAAAATTTAATTGTTTTTTTATTTTACATACATACATACATTATAAATGTATTGTAGTTAAAGTCACATTTGAAATGTATCAATTTCTTTTAACATTTGCAAGCTTTTATTGGCTCAGACATGAGAATTTATTTATTAAAAAAACATTGACGTTCGTTCATTTTGTTATCGGTTGCAAGGACAATGAGCCCACTTTGAGGCACATCTAAAGTGTCTCGACTAGGATACGATATGTTGGAGATTTCAATTTTAGGAAAGGAATATCCTACATAGTAAATATGTATGTACACGTATGTAATACAATCGGTAAAATTCAAAATCCTTTTTTATTTCAACCAAGGCTGCAACTTAACGATAAATTTCGAGCTAATCGAAATTTTTTATCCTTTCGGTTGAAACATTTGGCAATATTAAAGTCAAAGCAGTTTTCAAATTAAATTTCTTTTCGTTTTTACCTGAAATGAAAAGCTGTACTTAATGTTAAGTCTCTAACAGATAATGTTAAACATTAAAATTGAAGTTGCTGTTAAATCAAAGCAGGCGTTCTTTTAAACTTAACCTTAACGAAGAGTTCCAATTTCATTTCGCTTCGTTAACATGGCGCCGAAACGAAACCATTTCCAATCGTTAGGTTTTTTTTTCTTGTTAGCGAGACGAAATGATATCGCTGCGTTTTTGGGCATCTCTGATCTCAACCATCTCTTTTTGGAACTCTTAAGTAAATTATAAGACATACATATAGTGCAGAAGAAGAAGTTTGAGCGAACCGAATATTAGATGCTTGACTGATATTTATACTAACTAAAGAAATATGTCAAAAATAGAAGCTCTGTTACATGGGAGGTTGGTCTTTTTCTGGACCTAAGCAGAGAACTTATAATAACTCTCTTCTATTATATTAAATACATATTTAACACATTTGAAATTGCCAAAGCAAAGGTATGCAATAAATTGAAAAAATAATTTAATACGATTCTCTGTTTTTTAGCAGTAAAATCATTCCGATCTCTGCGAACTTTATCAGTGGCTGTTATAGAAATCATGGTGAATCCCTTTCCCGGTGTGGTGAATCCCTTTTCCAAAGTTTTTCAGAAAATGTTTGAAGCAAGTTCGATGCTGCAACGAATTTGCACCTTCTCGTTATTATAAGTTCTCTGGTCTGTATACAATTTCTGTCCGCCCATATTCATTATCTGTTCATACTAGTCCAAGGAAGTAGTAAGAATAAAATTTTATCGGGTTCTGTTCAGTTCCATTTGACACTACCATCTGAGAGCTTGTCATACTCAAAATCGTAGAAAAATTATTGGCCTTTAAAAATCCACGATCTCTCCGTTACACTCTTATTTCTCATCTATAAAAATTTAGAATATACTCAGATTTAAAAGTAGAAAAACCACAACAATTACAATGTATTTTTTATTTCTTTTTGCGCAGGGATTGTTAAAATTATGGAAAATTCGTTGGCTTTTAAAAATGCTGAAGTGTAGTTTTACAAAATTTAACAACGTTCGGCAGCGGGTTGAAACCATACCAAGTGTCCGGCAATGAGTGGGGTCATTACAAATATAATCTTAAATAAAATATTTATTAAAAATCTGACCTATATTACTTAAAGTATTCGATATGCTGTTTTTTGCATTTTTGCTTTCTGTTATCTGCCGAAGAAACCACTACCTAAACTAATTAGTCTCGTAATCGTCCTTCCTAATTTGGGGATATGCTCAGTCACGCTTTCAGTTTTTATTAAATGACTGGCAGTGTCAGTTTAGATTTTATAGTAGCACCTATAACGGTAAATAATAATTAAAAGTTCTTATCTATACGAATACAATGAATGCTTGACGTTTGCATTTAGAGCGACTCATAGTCTTCTACGAAAATGTGAATATGAATCCCTTTAAGTAAGCAGAACGCTAAATTTATTTAAAATTTTAAGCAAATCGATTTTGATCTGTGGAAAAGAAATCTTCTTTGTACATTTATTTAGGGAAATAAAATGCTTTCGTGCAAAAAATCAACCAAATCGAACTATGAAATACAACTTTCCCAACATTAAAACCTACGAACGAACTCATATCGAAACAACCGTAGAATTTTCTATAAGCGAGTCTAAACTAAAACTAACCCAAAAAAAAAATAATATTAAACGCCAGTCCAAGAACTATGTTCTAAAAAATAATCATTCATTTCTCTAAAGTACATACATTCTTACTTATCACGTCAAACCGGAGTAAAAAAAAACATGAGCATTTTTATAATAAATTCTTGTACCTTTTATATATACATATATATAGGCAAAACTGCTTGAAAATTTGTTTGGTAGCTTTTGAGGTTATCGCGAACAGACAGACAGACGCGCAGATGTACTTTGTTCTACAATATAATAAAATGCGAGTATGTAAAGATGTATGCCTGGCTGCAGCGGCTTCTTATTATATACAGTGGCTTACAGCCAAAGTGATGCAGCTATATAAGAAATAGTATAAGTCTTTTTAGGTCGGCTTTATTTCGAGTCTCTCGTTCCAAAATTGATCACAGATTCTCAATCACATTCAAATCTGTACCCTGCGCTGGGACTTGTACGATGTGCGGACAGTTCCAAATAAGCCAACTTTGCACAACGCCTCATTTGTGTGTTAGCATCATTATCTTGATAGTACCGAAATTTATTTGAAGCACTTTGCGACAAAATTCTTTTTAAAATGTCCAAATACACAGTCTTATTTATGGTACTATTGATGAAATACAAATTTCCAACTCTAGAAGATGACATACATTCCCATACCATTACAAGACCTCCACCATGTTTTAAAGTGCGGTTGTAACGCAGCATTTGGTTATCTCCATACATAGCTCTTTCCATCTGATCTAAACAGGTTGAATTTACTTTCGTCCGCAAAAATTACGGTGTCCCAGAAACTTTCTTCTTTATATAAAAGCTCCTTTGTAAACTTTAGGCTTGCACTTTGATTTTTAGCACTGACAAATGGTGTATTTTGAGCTGTGCGGCCACTGAAATCGGCTTCTCTTAAGGATTCTTCGTATGGTTTCTGGGTTACAGCTTTTTCCACGATATCTTAGCACTTCTTTACCTAAAGCTGGAGCACTTAAGTGAGGGTTTTCGCCGCGTATTTTCCGTACAATCCATCGGGAGTCACTTTCGTTAAAATTATTTATTATGAGCCGTTTTAGTTTTATGTAACACTCGACTTCGCGAACACCGCGTTCAATGATATGAGCACAGTTCCTTAGCTCAATTTCACCATTTCCGCGAATTGACGGTGACTTTTGCCATCTTTATAATGTTTTAAGATTAATTCGCGCACTTCAATACTTATTTGGCGACCCAGTTTGATCTACACTCAACCAATGTCAATACTAAAATTTCAAAATTATCTCATAATTATCTCATTACATCAAGCTTCTCCGCGATTATAGCGGTATTTATTTTGCATTCGAAAATCGTCGAAAAGACGTCGCCACTAACGGTAAATCTTTGTGCATCGCTTTCGCTGTGTTTTTTGCTATAAATTACATAAAATAACCATATAATATCAAATTTTTAAAGCATCAATGAAATACATACATATGTACATCTGCGACTATTAATCGGCATTCATGGTTTTTTGGAAATTTATTTGAAACTTATATGGCTGTGAGCCACTGTATATAATTGGCCCTTTGTAATTGCTGAAGCGATTTTTCGGCCGAGCTCCTCCTCCGATTTGTGGTTTTGGGTTTTGATGTTTTTCCAACTAAATGGAGGGACCTACAGTTTATACTAAGCCGCCTTCGAACGGCTGGTGTTTTTACCAGGAGCCTTTATTTCATTTCGGAAATACACTCGGAGCAGTGGACATTCCCTGCCGAGGGGCGACTTTAACTTAATTTTTTATTTAAATTCATTTTCCATAACTTTTTGGTGTTAATGACACTGGGATTTTAGCCCGAGTCTTCCGAATGTCAGTACGCAATGCTAACTACTCGGCTACCGCGGCCGCAGCGGTTTCTTAGACCTATGTCTAGATTGAAGTTTTTTTTTAAGATTTAGTTATATTTGGATCCTGATATGTCAGACCTGATTTGGGTCATGTTTGCATTTTTTTCGCGATTTGGTTGAACTGAAATATATTTATCCAAGCTTGTCAGTCCATCAGCTCATATACATATATAATAACTCAAAAGGGAACTTCGACTTTTACCAAAATGATAAGATTTGGGTGAAAAATTAAAACAAAAAAAAATAAATTAAAATGGTGCTCAATGCTACAAAATTTACCAAGAGAGATCTGAGTTCATAAGCAAAAAGTCCTTCGTGATGATTCAACAGTTGTTGCGATTAGTGTTGGTAGTATCTTTCTGATCGGATAATTGAGTCAGTGAAAATGAAACACATTCGTAGCTAAGGAATTACAAGACGGAAGTGAACTCCATGTTTATTTTTTGACAGCGTCTGTAGAAAGTTAATTTGGGGTCGCATTAAATAAAATACAGGGTTGCTCTTTTTTGTTTTAACTTACAGCAATTTCAATGACACTGCATTTCCTGTTTCACTTTTTCATTTGTGTTTGCTTATGAAACACTTATTTCGGCAAACCAAATTTTGTGAGATAAGCAATTTAATTGTACCTAAATCGAACCATTATATATTATATTATATTAGACTCTATATTCTATACTTCAAGCCGCAAAAATGTAAACTTTTTCTTAAACAAATGTTTGAATCTGGTATCTTGTCTACCACGGCCGCGTGATTTAGTCATAAAAAAACCTGCTTTTCAAAGGATCAATAATTGGTGTATCTCCTCTCTCTTTCTTTGCTCGATTAAGAAGATTATCTCACCAATTTAAAACGTAAAGGGACTTTCCAATGGGGATGATATTATTTCCAAGCCTCGTTTTGGACATTTTTAATGCCATAATCTCTCATTTCGTTTACAGTAAATTTACAATTTCATCATGACGAGATATACGCAAGAACAACGTTTATAAACAACAACAAATTGAAAACTATAACGAATTTTGAGAAAGTTATCTTCTCCGATGAGGCGAAAATATCCACAAATTATTCATGAATAACCATTGCATTCACCTAAATTGACAGTTTAGTGTGGTTTTTGGTCCGGTGGAATCATCGGTCCGTACTTCTTTCGAAATAAAGCTGGTAACGCCGCTACTGTCAATGGAGAGCAGTGTAGATCGATGATAACCAACTTTTTATGGCCACACTTGGAAGAAGTTAATCTTAACAACAACAGGTTCCAACAAGACGGAGCTACGTGTCACACAGCACGTGAAACAGCCGATTTATCGGGGGAAATGTTTGGAGATTCGATTATTTCAGGAAACTGTAACATTGAATGGCCTCTAAGAAGTTGTGATTTTAACACCATTAGATTACTTCTTGTGCGGTTACTTCAAGTCATTAGTCTTTAGTAACAAACCAGACTCTCTTCAAGCTTTAAAAGTCAATATTGAATGTGCTATTCATCACATATGACTTGATTTAGTGGAGAAAGTGCTCTAAAATTGGGTTCATCCAATTCGTGCCTGTGAAAGAAGTCGTGGAAGCCGTTTAAATGATGCTATATACAGAACCGAATTGTAACGATTGCACTTCACATTAAATAAAAAATATTTGAATGTGTATTTTTATTAAATCTAAGAATACCGAATTTTGCAATTACGTTATTAGTCTTCCTTTCAAATTTCAGAACGATCGACTGAAATGGAGACGAGAAAAAGCGAGATAGCGGAGAATACGTCGGACGAAATTCTACCACCAACGCAAATAGTAATTTCCCATGAGATTCTCTTCGGGTTTCAGCGTTACTTACAGCCAATACAAATATTATTTCTATGTGGTTCCGAAGTTTTCACACCGGACATATTTCCGTAGAAAACGAGCCCTGAGAAGGTCGACCAAGATCATATAATGATGACGTCACTGTAGCTCTGGTGAAGTTCAAAATTGACAAAGACCCACGATTGACACAAGAAATGATCGCTACTGCATGGGTACCACGATTTTTAAATGAGGCCCAAAAAGAAGTTCGAGTGCATTTTGTTCAAATCTTTTCTTTGTCTTAACAAATTCGAAAATGGTCAGTTCGGCAGTTCTATAGAGTTCAACAGGAGCAAACCCACTCGTAAAATCTAAGCAACAAAAATCAGCAGCAAAAGTAATGATGTCGGTTTACTTTATCCGATCTTAAATCGTAGCTGCTAAAGGGTCCGACGATAGCTGAAAAATGGTACACCGAAGAGTGCTTACCAAAACTTTTCAAAAATATGTTGGAAATCAGAGAGAGAGAGGATTTGCGGCGCTACTTTTCACATCACGACAACGCGCCATCCCACACTGCTGGAAAAGCGAGTAATTTTATTGCGGTCTCTGGGATCGAAGAAATACGTGCAGCACCATATTTCCTGGATATAGCTCCATGTGATTTCTGGTTACATCCTATGATGAAAAATTTAAAAGGAAAGGTCCTTAATAGCAACGTAGAGATAATTTAGGCGGTTAATGCTGATCTTGAAAAGTTTAAAAAAGCTAGGCTCGAGAAATACGTTGAAATCAATGGCGATTATGTAGAGAGGATAAAAAAGGACAAATATTAAATTCGACTGGTCAAATTACCGAACTTTTGTTAACCCCCTCCTTGTATCGTTTACTATACTCGATCTGAGACTAAACATTTTTGAAGTTTAAAAAACCTGTTTTTTTCAACACAAAGTCAGGAAGAGATCTGTATTTAATTCAAATTAATTAAAATTTTAAATTCCATATTTTTGAAAAAAAAGAGCAATGCAATCACATTAGGGTTGCACGAAAAAAAGTAATACAAAGTAACTAGTTTTCCCAAGCAGCGATAATTTACAACCATAACGTCTAGCAATTTGGCGAAGTTTAACTAATTTTTCAATTTATTACAAAACGTGAAAATCCCACAGCGACATATTTACAAACAATTTAATTTGCGATCAAAACAAACATGAATAAAAAGCAACGCCATTTAAGCCCCACTTTGCATTGCATTCGCAGTTAAGTAATTAGAGTGGTTCTTCAAGTTAATTTCCATTATATTGTATTGTGTGATTGTGTGTGTAATGGGTAATATTCAATTATTTAATTGTCGAACAATGAGTCCCAGCTACTTCCGTCTAGTGGCTCTTTTCATATGTACACATAGACATATACATATGTGCATAAGTGTGTTCGTTTCCATAGATATTGTATAAATAATTATATGAGAATGTATGTGACCATTTAAGGCTGACTCAAAGAATTCCCAATGCTCACAAATGATCATCTATTAGATCCTGCGACTCATCTCACTAATGCGACGGACGGACGCTCCATTGTTCGGCTTGCAACGAGATGGTTGTCGTTATTGTCAACCACGAAAGCTGCATACGTAGTGTGTACATACATACGTACATACCATACGTAGATATGTATGTGCTGTGAAGGTAAATGAATTTTGAGATTTCACTTCTCTAAGGCAATTCTTTGAAGAATCTTAATTAGTAAATTAATCGCATTGTTTATTAATTTAACTCCATTATACTCTCATTACTGCTAAACTCAACACAGCACACACACACACACACAACTACGTAAAAATAGAGCTATTTGCTTAACGATGTGTATTTGTTGTAGTATGTACATACGTGTATGTATGCAAGGCACTTTCTGCACCAGCTTTGTGCAGCTTCTGCTGCTGTTTCAGAATCTGCTTCTGGTATCAAGTGTCACCTCATCCGTTCGCTTAATTTTCCAGCTTACGGTCGAATTCCTTCGTTCATTCATTTTGGCATTTGAGTAGGGTTTGCGAAATTCAAAAAGACGGATATATTTCGAAAACAAAATGTATGCGTCTTTCGCTACTAGCTTGAGTTTAGTTAATTCATTTGTTTGCAAAAATAGGTTTGCACATATGTGCATGCAAGTGAGATCCTCATATTTATCTACATACGTGTATGTACATACATACTTACATGTGTACTTCTAAGATTACATATTAAACATAATAATATAGGGATTACGGAAGAGCCTTGCCGTGCGATCGAAATTTTCCAATAGTAAAAAAGGTGTTGCCTTCAAATATTTGCTGGTAAATTCTGACCACTTGATAGTGGATACGTGTATGTAGGTGAAAGGGAAAAAAATGAAAAACAACTATAAGTGAAAGCAACACACATGTCGCTTAATGGAATAACCATTGGCTCGTGCTGTGGGCATCCCAAGTTCGAATCCAATTCGATCAAAGGTGTCTGGAAAAAGAAGTCTGATGAGGAAATGTGGTGGTTGGTCTGAAAGAGTTCCATAAAACTTAAAACCAAAAACAATTAAACAGTACAATGACCTGAAAAAGCATAATGATATATATGTAGTTACTATAATTAATTTACGTTCATTCGGACAACGAAATAGTTAAAAAATTTGAATAATTTTTAATTGAAATATTAGATTGCCTTTAGGAACACATGGAGAGGCCTTTTTAAAGTTGCGAGTTAACCCTAAGTTAGCTTTAATTCAGTTGCGTCAGGTGCGATGTGTAAAATATAATCGAAAAAAATATTTAGGTGAAATAATAACGATAAGAACAAGATAAGCCGACGACATGATATTTTTCTGCTTTCTACAGGACTACTCACTGTTACCGGTAAAGTAAATTTTGTTACTTTTCTTTAACACGCGAAATTGAATTTGGTATTCTGGCGAACTGGTTACAATGTTTGAAAAAAATTTGGCAACACTGCTTTTTTGGTCCATGTCAAATTGCATTTGCCAGTTGATAAAGTAAAAAAAAAGAATATTCACATCGAAATGGAAGACGGTGCACAAAAAAATTAGAAACTTTTATTAATTTGTTTACTAAATCATAAATATTTGAACCTAATTATGGAAAATATGCCTGGGCAACAAAAAAAACTGAATGAAAATGATATCTTACAATTTAAAGGGCTATTTTTTTGTCTCGAAAAGTTCTTAAAATACGGCTTTTTGCACTTTTTTCTTCATCTTCAATGAATTCTAGGCCTAAAATATGCCTACCCATTTTAGTTTTTATTTTTTCTGAAACTAACAACACAAAATTAAACAGCAGGCATTTTTGTTACCTCCTATTTCGCTGATAACAAAATTTACAGGGTAACAGTGAGCTCAGAATACGAAATGGTAACAAAATTTACTGAATTGTTTGACCAAATTTTTTTGAAACAAGTGCAAAATACCGACTGCCTCGCCCAGGAAAAAATTAAGTAGTGGGTGTTGTTTGGAATATTTAAATGATTTCAAGGGTATATAACATTGCTTGTGCAAACGAATATTATGGTCACGATGGCCGGGCAATGGTAATTAAAATGCAGTGGCTCCACAGTGAACTCAAATGCAAATCGAGAGCTTTCCTTTTAACATATATTTCCCCTCTTCAAGTGTATATTTCAAAACAACCAAAACCATAAACTAAATTCAACTCGTTCGTAAAAAAAATGATATGAACATAACAACTTAACAAAACTGATGACAAAAAAGATCTCGGACATATACATAAAATTGAATTTAAAAATATTATTTAAATAGAAACAAAATATTCTTAATATTTGGTCGGCAAGCCTTTACTTTTTCTGATGGCATTCAGTCTTCTTTGCAAAGATTCCAATAGTTTCTGCCATATTAAATAATCTATTTCCCCCCACACTTCCGAAATAGCGGCTTCTAGGTCTTTCTTATTTCTAATAACAAGCATTTTCAGTTTATTTTCCAAATGAGCTCAATTAAGTTAATGTCGGGAGATTGAGGAGGTGTTTCAAGCACTTTAGGAGAGTTATACATCAGCCATAGACGGACGTCAAGTGCTTTATGCTTGGGATCGTTGTCTTGGTAGTACTGGAAATTGTCTTTAATTCCCAACTTTTCCGCACTTTGCACCAAATTTTCTTTTAAAATGATCAGATATTGCTTGTGGTCCATATTACCATTTATGAAACAAAAATTTCCAGTACCAGCTGCCGGCGGACAATTCCATACCATTACTGAGCCGCCCCGTGCTTAATAGTCGGACGTAAATTCTTTTCTAACGACTCTTCATTCGGTTTTCTCCAAACATAAGACTGTCCATCTGACCTAAATTTGTTTTCAGAATTGAAAATCTTTATCCCCGTGACATTTTGCAAATTTTATCCTTCTGAGTCAGTTAACCCCGTTGATAAATGGTTTCTTTACTGGTACTTTTTAATTTGTTGCCTTAAAATATTTGCTGCATTCCATACTTTTCAACAAAATATGAAAAACTTAGAAAACGGAAAAAGTGCACAAGAAATGTTACAAACCATTGAATTCTCGGAAAAGGGAGGAACTACGCCAACTTCCTAATTTATCCCTGTGCGAGGATTCAATGCAGTTTGATATGATAAACTGTCCAAAATATTTAATTCTATTGAAAACCATGTTTTTCGGCACTTTTTTTTTTGTTAAGTTGGTAGCACTCTCCGTACTTACTTTGGCGAAATGGACGCGATCTGTAAATCAGTTTGTTTGCAATAGCTGTCAGTCGGCATCAGTTCGCATGAGGCCAAATCCGGTGAACACGCTGGTTAATCGATGGTATTGAACGAGTTTTTGGTCTTAAAATCCTTGTTGGCCCACAATTCTTGCCGTTTACGAAGGATGTTTTCGCGCAAACACCTCAAAACAATCACAAAACAATCAAATAATACTCTTTATTGACCGTCTGTCCCGTTGGGATGCATTCATAATGAATCAAACCCCCATGTCATGGCAGAAACTTCGGAAAATGCTTAAATCCATTTAAGAGAATTTCTGCGAGCGGCGAAAAAGTATGTTTTGAATTTGTATAGGGCATCAAGACTCTTCAGTGCTCCAGATCAATATCAGAAAACGGCGTAGCTGACTAATCTGCCATCAGATCTAATTTTACACAACACATTATTTTTTTGAAAATATCTGATTTGGGGTTTATTTCCGATTCAGGGACGTATTTCAAAAAATAACATCACCATCATGTTAGACTGGAAAGTCACTTTTCATAATAACTATTGTCTTTCCGAGAACGTGCAAAATAATTATTATCAACTGAACAAAATTAAAAATAATAAGTGTTTTTTTTATGTTGTTGGAATTTTTTATTTTATTACTTATAATGACTACGGCCCCTGCTGTCAATAGAATCTTTTACTGTGAATCGCACTCGCAAAGAACATTTTCCAAATCGTCTTCATTTCCTCCATCTGTATCTGTATTAAGCAGCACAGTGGCGCGCTTGGGAAGTGAAGGGTTAACATAGAACTTTTCCGAATTGTTTGGTTTTTCTGACAAAACTAAGCCCCAACCAATTACAAGCCACGCTGTAATCCACTGAAAATGTCATATTTTTCATATTATTTTATACAACACGTGACTTAATTGGAGCTATTGCATAGGACAATCCAACCTGTTTATAGAACATAAACCCACTTTCCGTTATCCTCGACATTTACGAATCTCCTTCTAAGTATTGAAAAGTGTTATTGGGGCATACGGACTGCGACGATCTCGCAGATGTGAACCAGGTGTGAAGCCGTACGGTAATCGACTTGATGTATTCAGTTCAGGCTCAGAAAATTAATGATGCCTAGACATGCAATCTATGCGAGGTAGTCGAAGAAGAAATTTCCGTGAAACTGATAACGGACCTCAGAGTTTCCCGGGGTTATGGCTATCCCTATCCGTTCAGCTCATCGATCACACAGTTCTCTCAGTGTCCATATAAGCAGAGCCCCAAACCACGAACTTTTATTAAAATTATTTCACAGCATATGCTTAGAAAATAACTGCAAAATAATTAAACATTTCCGAAGTTGAAAATTTTTTAAGCGACAACATCAAACATTTCTGAGCAAACACGTTTAGTGTCAAAAATTCGATGTGAAACTACCTTTGTGCATTGTGCAAAGAGAGGCGTCTGGGTGTGCTGTTATATTGTCATAAGCAAAACTGTAAAATACTATTTCAAAATCCGCGAAAATGTTTTTTTTATCTTTTAGAACTCCTATAATTTAAAATTTATTTATTCAGAGTGAAAAACTCATTGAAATTGTAAAGAAATTTTAACAACTTAAAATTTAAAATTTAAATATTAAAAAAAAAAGCGTTTGAGCAGTCGAATACACAACCAATACTTAGTATATTGTATTTTAAATACATATTTCGGGAGTATGATGCATTCAAAAAGCATTCGGTGTTGGGTATTTTTTATTGGCAACGAAAATGCCCTGACTCTTTAATTTGAGTGTTATGTTTAAATTTAGCAGCAGAGTCAGTCATTACTGTTTAAGCCTGCGTTTGTTAACGCTACCGATCTCTCGGTTAACCACGCCTCTTCCAAAATTGTTTGCTAATTCAGAATTTTATTTTCCTGTATAAAAGTAATATTAGGGAGGCTCGTTGCGCTATTTTGCAAGACTCTGCTTCACAAGGTTCTGGAAAAGGGGGAAATACATACATATATGATCAAGCAAAAATTTCGTATTTCTCTTTATTCTGGGCTTTAAAGTTCTGCATTTCGAGAGCTGTCCGACGAAATTATGCTTTTCGACTTTCAAATTTTTTTATTTCGTTTTTCATCTATAAATTCAAAAGCATGTTAAGCAATTCGAAATTTTTTTTCCAACAATTCTTTTAACAGGCCTATTCTGTCGAGGTAACAAATTTTACTTTGATATTAAAATTTACCATTCAGTAAATTTTGTTACTATTTCGTATTCTGAGCTCACTGTTACCCTGCAAATTTGGTTACCAGCGAAATAGGAGGTAACAAAAATATCTGCTGTTTGATTTTGTGTTGTAAATTTGAGAAAAAATAAAAAACTAAAATGGGTAGGCATATATTAGGCTTGGAATTCATTGAAAATGAAGAAAAAAATGCAAAACGCAGTTTTCGAGACTAAAAAATAGCCCTCTAATTTGTAAGATAAGCATTGCATTCAGTTTTTTTTGTTGTCCGGGCATATTTTCCATAATTAGGTTCAAATATTTATGATTTAATAAACAAATTAATAAAAGTTTTTAATTTTTTTGTGCACCGCCTTCCATTTCGATGTATAAATTTTTCATTTTACTTTACCAACTGGCAAATGTAATTTGACATGGACGAAAAAAGCAGTGCTGCCAAATTTTTTCAAACATTGTGACTAGTTCGCCAGAATACCAAATTCAGTTTCGAATGTTAAAGAAAAGTAACAAAATTTACTTTACTGGTAACAGTGAGAATAGGCCTGTAACTATTGAAATGGTTCACTACACGTTATTCGATTGAAACAAATTTAAGCATATGTAGAAATTTGAATCCGAAATAATTTATAGAAAATTAATTTAAAAAAAAAAAGTTAAATTTTCTAATTGCGATGGCAAGGGCATGTCAACCCCTGACTGTAATACAAGCTCCTCCATTTGTTGGAAAAATATCTAGACGCAAAACCAAAAAATGGAGGAGGAGCTCGGCCAAAAATCGCAAGATGCAAACCATAGCCCAGATGGCCGAAGACCACCAAATGTGAATAATAGCTTTACAAATAGGTACTGCTGGGGTGGTGTTAATATGTAAGTACCTACCAATGTTTCTTTAAGCAATACTTCATTCTTGCAATTACATTCCATTGTTAAATATCTGATGTGTTCAAGTTTTCTTAAAAAATTGTATAATTTAATATGCTGAAATATGGCATTTTTGTCTCAATTTTCGCAAAAAATGTTAAATTTTAATGCATACCTTTTCCTCGCTTCGAATTAAGAAAAAATATGCGGAAATCGGTTTATATTTATTTATATAATTGGCACTTTGTAGCCGCTGAAGCGATTTTCGGCCGAGTTCTTCCTCCAATTTGTGGTTTTGCGTCTTGAAAAAATGCATTGAAATATTACAAAATGTCAGGGTGTACGCTGTCTCATGGATGACATAATGTAAATTAATTTAAAAATGAGCCAACTTCGTCATTAAATATATGATTCGCTCTTGTCGTAACCGTGCATTCGAGCTGTGTGAAATAATGAACGCAAAGTAGCAAACGGCGTATCGGAAAGTGAAGCAAGACGAGAAAGTGTCTGTCAGGACCTAACAAATGAAACGAGCATCATCTGAACTATTCAAAATGCTTTTCCCAAAAAATATAGTTTTCAAAGCCGCCGCCGAAAGGCTGGTGAGTTTTAGAGACAAGCTTTGTATTCCATTGTTTTCATTCCATATATTCGGAGGAATTGACATTCACTGCCTTGGGGCGATCGAAACTAAGAAACAACATTTTAAATAAATTTTGGTTGTTAGGATTCGAATCCATGATCCTCGGAGGAGTAGTACACACTGATAACCACTCAATCACTACTAACAATTGGAATTAAATAATTTCTATTCCTATCGTCCGATTTCATCAATATACTCGTACTCGCATACACTCACATATGCACGTACATTATTTTTCAATATCCTTAATTAAAATGATTTATAATTATTTATATTGTGATTCATTACTTATCTCTCACCTGAAATTTCCGACATGATAAGCAACAACCGCTCGCGCCCTGAGTACGGCTTCACAATTTAAGATTTCATGCATATTCGGCAAGGCCACCGGTAAACTCCAGAGGAAACGTGCCAAACGCTCTATGTCCCCAGAATCCTCCAGCGTTTTACAAACAATTTCCACTTGTGCGGCGGAGAAGGCGAGCGTCGGCACTGCCAAGATGGGGCTGGGTGCTATAATTTGATGTGTGGGTGAGAATGTCTCTGAGGGAGGATGTTTGCCCTCCGTCGGTCCAACGGCCATTTTATTCGTTGAATCCACTGTGAACAAATTCGCATACTATTCCAGGCCAAGAATTATGTGTAATTTTTAGCGGCGGCAAAAGTAACACACAACAATAAAATCTGCAACAAATTATCTTTTGCACACAACTTTCGGACACCAAATTAAAAATTTTTAAATTATTTGACTCTCACGCACACATACGAAAGCAAGAGCACAAACAACAAACTTGCCGACAGTTCAACAAACGCACGCGGATCGGTTGTTATAACTCACTCACGATGGCAGAGCCATATACACTATTCTTCATGGATAAATTTTGTTTCAAAATTTGTAACGATATTTAGAAAATTTGTTTATTTCATGTTTTAATACACATAATTAGCAAAGGAAATCAGTTTTATTGATTTAAAATTTTCAACACTTTTGTTCAATCAAACGAATTCACAGCTAATTACACAGTACCGCTATTTTCAATGGAAGGCTCTGGCTCTGGCTCGGGCTCTGACTTTGGCTACCATTCAAACCGTTATTTCACCACGTATGAGTTGCGAATTAATCCGCGACAATGATCTCACAGGCAATCGGAACCGGATAGGACATTGATGCGACCGCGATTTGTTCACAACGTATAGATCGGTGCCACTTTAGCGACGGGTATTATGGGTTATTGCGCGTCTACGCGTAGGTATGCTTTGCAAGTAGGCGAATGCCAATTAACTGCCACCGCTTCTGCGTTTGTGATATCCACTGTCACTGGTGGTGCCACTATGCCACTGCTACCGTTGTATTGCTTGCTACCGATGCTGCAAATGTGGCAGCTGCTTATGTTTTTACTATGTACGTACGTATGTATGTATGTACATATATAAATTTTTATTGCTGTTGCTGTTGCTGTTGCTGTTATAGCTACGGCTACGGCTGCGGCGACGCCTGCGTGAAAATTATCAGACCCGTTTCACCAAACTAGTTTTGCGTTTCGTGTCGACGGAGTTGGTATCGAGAAGCACTCAAATCGTCGTTGTCGCAACCGTCAACAAACAAAATCAAATAATGGCCTGTAACTGAGCTGACTACCAAGCCGACATCGACTACCTCGACGACGATTTTGTTTGTTCTTTTTCTTGTGTTGTGCTGTGTTGTGTTGTTGTTTTGGCAACGAAGGCGCAGAGTGGCGGCATCGACGAATACATACAATGCTAATAACAACTACAACAATGGCAAGATGCCAGTATTATTGTAAGTAACACCACAGAATGGAGATAAGCAACTGGTAACGTATGCTCATTGCACGCCAACACATTGACACCCCAAGCAATGCAGCAAACACGCTAGCGGCTAGCCAGTCAAGCAGCCAAGCCGCCAACAGACAAGCAAACAGGTATAATAACATCGTTCGTTAGGTCGATGGGCCTCCTCGAATGTAGCCCAGCAATGCGCTTAGCAGAGGAAAACAAGTTGAGCCAACAAATTTAGGAGGCGTTGCCTTTTCATTTACGATTATGGTGTGCTCTCACTCTAACCGACGCCATTTTCTTCGAAATACATAAGCACTGGTGAATACACCATCCCTTTCGAGACCATCTCGCTCATTCCCCACAATGGATTTTCAACAATTGCCGTTGAGAGTGTGAATCAGAACCGCTTTGTGTGCGACGTGAGTACGACAATTACCCCTTATTTCCCTTGCCGAACTGCACTCAAAGTGCTTACAACTACCGTTACCATTGATGGGCATTATAAAAATCTAATATTAGTAAGCGAAAGATTCGTTTCCATTTATCCTCGATTGGATGGGATCTATTTACTTAGCGTTGTGAAAATTCATTAATGTATTACACCAAGAAATAATAGAAGGCTGAACGTACAGTGTGTCAAGCAGAAATTTCGCGTATGAAAAGTTCTTTGGTTGTTAAATAAAAATTCATTTGTTTTTCATTTTACTACTCAAAATCGATTGGAAATTATGCATTTATAATGAAAAAAAAAATAAAAACAGTTTGACTCAAGTTTTTTCTGATGCGTAAATACACTATCTGACATGTATGTATGCATGTATGTAAATGGATTTTTCGACTTTTGCTTAATTATTGTGCTATTAATTTCATATGACGTAGTGATTGTTAAAATTAGTTTTCAGTTTAGACATTTTCCTTGATTTTCTATTTGTAAGCGTGAATTGAGGAAAGGGATTTTGTGATTGGGGTTTGCACGAAATTTGTTGTATTTGTTCTCCCGCTGTCTCCTTTACAAATTCGCCTGCTTTGCGGTGTTTGCTTGAAATTCCTTGAAATTTACACTTATTAGGTGTTTAATAAGAGATTTTCCAATTGTAAGGTATATTTTCTAAGCAGAAGTTATAATTTTTTATGTACATATGTATGTATGTAAAGGTCTGTGGGAAATATTGCCTCTCCGAATATAAGTCGCTTTTTTAGGCGACAGCAGTAAGAATAGATAATAGCTGAATTAAAAATATTTTGAAAGTTAAAAAATTGTTCAATTTTAAAATTTTGGTGAAATATTAAATGGACTTGCACTGAAATTATTACATTTTTATTATAAATACCAGTTGTAGCACTCTCAAAAGCAAAGAAATTATTAAAGAAATCATATTTAATATTTGAAAGGTCAATATCTTCCCATTGATATTTGGTTACAACTTACTAAATGAATAATTTTTGAACTGATCTTTAAAGTTAAATCACATTTTAAAATATTAAATTTCTCGTTATATTTTTTATTTATTTAAAAAAGCTTCTTTTAAAGGAGAGGGTAGCACGAAGAAGGTGAAATACGTTTAACATCAGATAGCAATGAAGTCGACTGCGAAGATAGAATGAGACTCACGTTAACAGTAATATTTAATTTTGCTGTCCACTTCCTAAATTTCCTAAATTTTAATAGAATCTCAAATATTTTTAAAGGCGCAATGACTTTGCTTAAAATAAAGACGAAATTTGTACATACAAACATACATATGTACATATGTATGAATTTAAAACGTCATTTAGTGTCAATATTACATTTATTTATTGAGACTACATCATTCTATTTCTTTACCATGACAAAAAGTCAGAGCCTCTTTATATACGAGTATTTATTTTACGACTAAAAAAATTTATTAATTTATATTTTATCATGTGAAATATGATTATTACCAACTCTTTCCACTTTTCCACTGTGTTGATTCCAATCTTATGTGACAAGATTACTTTAAACACTTTTTTGTTCTTCATTTTCACGATAAATATCAATCCCTCGATTGCAAGTATCCTGAGAAGTGCTCGAAAGATATGTATCTAAGTAGGTATGCGAGTAAGTTAGAGTATTAAATTATTATTTTCAAAAGTTTTAACCTTTTGAATTTAAAAAATATTGACTAACGGCATTTACATATATAACCAATGCGAATGCAGTATGCCCAAAAGCCCAAACTGTTATCTGTTCCTAATTTGTCTTCAAATATACAAGTATATACATACATATGTATGTATCTATGGTAAATCTATTTGTTGCACTGATTTTCCATTTTGTCCTTTTGTAGCAAATTGTAATATCTGGTTTTGATTTCTCAACTGCTCACACTGAAACGAATATTTGCTTCTCTCTTGCTATCTCGCTCTTGCAGTTGTCTTCTGTCACAGTTTGAACAATTCCTCTAATGACGACATTGTGTGCTTCAAAACCAACGGCAACTGTAAATACATCGTGTTTATATACATAAATACATTTGGATATATATATTGCATATATATATATGAATATATGTACAGCTAGACGAATGTGTGTATATATGTACGACTTATTGTGGTGCAACTTAAGTAGCGAGCTTTATGATTACATACTTGCTTTAGAGAGGGGCATCTTTTGTGTTTGGCTGACGCACATTGCCTCGGTTGGGTAGCAGCTCTATGCGATCGCTCAAGCATTGCATGTCACGTTCATATTACAATATGCTTGAGGAGAGGGTACACGAAGCGGTGGTAGCGACGGTGATTGGGCGTTGCCATGCTACTCGGGCATCATAAACTGTTGTGCAATTTAACAGCGAGTATGCATGTATGTATGTAAGTATACATTAGAGTGGTTACATTTTCAATGTTCGGGAAAATGTCATGGTATATATTGTATGTACCTACATACGTGTACATATGTATTATGAGACAGTCCACATTTGTTTGTTTTAGATACATTTTCATTTATATTGATTTAAACCAGATATTAGCTAAGCCCGAAAAGATTAATCGATTTCGGAGACATTTACGGCATTTAATTAAGGAGCTTACAAAATTGAAAACTATTTAGTAATGCATACGAAATATAACAAACAATTTTAGTACCAAATTACAATATGAATTTTAGTTAAGCGAATTTTGCGGTACGTAGGTACATATACATATACGTAATATATAGACTTTGGCGAGAAAATGTCTTAATAATAATTATTTTTCTTTAATAATTATGTAAAATTTGGAAAACAGTAATTATCAACTCGGCCAAATACATATGTATATAAAATGAATAAATAATCTTCAAATTGTGTTTTATATATATTTAATAATTTTCAATGATTTACTCTTTTTGAGTATAAAATTCGCAGTTACAGCAAGAGGACAAATTCTGAGCTGCGACGAGTCGTCATAAAAAAGGATTTTTCTCTCTAATTTTTGATTACTCTAATGTGTCTTGCAACATAATTCTGCATATCGTACCTTCCAACTTTGTCAGAGTGTTAATAGATTAGTTGTTTACATGCCACAAGTAAATGAGTTCTCTAAGTTGCCACAAGAAGTAGTCGCCTGCCATAATGGACATCTACTCCGTAACGAAATATTTTTAAAGATCGAGTGGAATGGGGTGCGATTCACGCCCTCAGCTTTAATATGTACATCTGTATGTATGTGTGTATGTATATATGCAATGCGTGCGATATTCTAAATGCGCGTCAGTGGTAACTTGCTACTGGCCTCTGTAATCAATGTCTATATTATTACAATTTTGTAACCAGCACAGCCTCGCTGTTGTTAACGCTTTAGAGAATCCTCATACAATTTTGTTCACTAAAATATACAGCCACAAAACCCCATAAGCACAAATGTATATAAAGTGGTACATACATACGTAAATACATGCGAATGTGGCATCATGCCACAGGCTTGCTACATGACTCTTGTTAAATCTGAACGATGACTTTTTGAGTACTTGGCTAAGCATTTGGATAATCGTATTACGTGATGCTTTTCGACTGCGACAATGCGTACAAATGTATACATTGTATATATAAATATATAAGTACATATATATATATATATATGCTAGCATATTTGTCTCAGTAAACGAACATATGTGCGATTGCTAGTACGCATAAAGTTCTAACAAAGTAATACAAAAATATATGTACATAGATATGTATGTATGTATGTACATATAATTACATCTTCGCATCTAACAAATAGGGTAGTTCAACAATTAATAAGGGCGAATTTGAGAGGCTTTTGGAAAAAATTTCAACTACATAGATGGGAATGTATGTATGTAGGTATCTACACCTAGGCACAGAGAGAGAAAAAACAAAGCCGTACGCAAATTTTTTTTTTCATAAGCATACATATTGACTTTGTAACGAAATTACGAATAATAGCTCACTTCTATGTAACTATTAAACTGTTAGCAGGCAAATTATTGCACTGAATCAGTCATCTTCGAATCAATATTGATTTTTTTACATATGTATGGAGGGACCTAAAGCTGATGAAAATTTATCAGGAGCTTTGATTTCCATGTCAGAAATACATTCTGAGGGTTGACTTTTCTTGCCGGAAAGTGACCGCAAATTGA